AATAAGTGGTATTTAAATGTTTCTGTCATGTCACGTCCGTTTGGGGCAGACAGCCAAACTGCTTGTTAGTGGAATCTTACCTTATTGTGTGTAGTTAGGACACAGTGTGAGATTGGAACTAGGAATAACAAATTGTAAGTGATTTTACGAGAGACGAGAAAAATAATCAACTGTTATTTATCATCGATGTAGAGTGGACTCATGTAGGATTAAATAAGCAAGTGTACAGTATGAGTTGAAACTTGTTTTGTATTGACTTGTATTATTTGCTTTGCCTAATAATTGTATTTAATTTTTTAATTTGATTGATTTTTCATGTTGAAAGTAATGTTTAACGTCCAAGTCAAATCAATGTTTGAGCAATTCCTTTAAAAAATACTGAATAATGGTTCTTCTGAAAAAACATAAAACATTTTGAATATTAATGAGAAAATTACGAGAGAAAGTATTCGAATCTAACTGATTTGTTCATTCAAACTCAACTACAAACTTTTACAACCATATAAAAAAATATGGAATTATTTTTATCTAGATACTTTATGACAACAAAAGAGGCAGCCCACTGACGTGTATGTTTGTTAAACTAGATATTTTATTGCAGTAATCAACCTTATGCTCAAAACTCAAGGGCCTTATTCTGAAATGTGCTTTGAAGACCTTTGTTGGATATCTACCTCAAACGGTCTCACAATTTGCATCCAATATCTGCAATGCATTCGCTTCTGGTTCCAGACACCACTGAACCTGCACATACAGTAAAAACAAGCATTCCCTAAATACCATACAGTTAAACATTGACAATGCTATATAGATGTGATTAGTGCCTGATTGATTAAGTTAAGTAGAAGACTTAATAATACAGTTTGACATATTGCCTTGTGTAGCTTGTAGGATAACTACAGTAGCTGCTTCTCTAAAGGGTACTTGTGACTGTTCTGTGGCAGAATAAAACACAAAGGCAACATGGTTTCTTCCAATTGATTATTTAGACTGCTGGCTTACATATGTCTCATCCTCTTGTTGGGAAGGCAGGCACTTAACAAGCTGCTTGACTGGTGTTCATCTGTAGATTTGGCTCATGCTGGTGGGCTAACAACCTGACAGCCTGTTCTCCAAGAGTGGGCTTAACATTGAAGCGTTCTATGAAGAAGCGGAGGAAAAATACTCAATGCACGTTTTACTGAAAACGTCATGAACTCTACAATAATCCATAGCTACAATAATGCAGGCCAATTCCATCCCAGGATTAAATAAATTAATAAATAAAAAAGTAATTGTGGCTTTCCAGTTCTGATTTTCTTCCTCTCAATTCTTAAATTATTATATTATAGTATTGTATATTTTTTCAGAACTGTAACTACTTATAATTCTGACTTACAAGACAAATGCAGACTTCAGAATAATTGTTTTTGCTTTGATTCTGAGTTTCTATATATAATTTCTGAGCTTATGTCTTGCATTTCTTACAGTATCTCAACTTTTTTTTATTAGAATTGAAAGTCTTGTAATCATCACTTGTGGGATGTAAAATGAGAATTCAAAATTTATATTCTGAACTTTATATTTATATCTCTCAATTCAGAGTGCATATTTTTTGCAATTCTGACTTCTTTCTTAAAATTAGAGCTGTTTGTTGTACTAGGGAGTTTATAAGCTGTCTTTCAATTCTAACTTGTCATGTTTTCTAAGAATTTTGAGCTTACTTTTCCCACATTGGGGCGTCACGGTGCACAGTGGGTAGCACAATCGCCTCACAGCACGAAGCTTGCTGATTTGAGCCTGGCTGGGTTAGTTGGCGTTTCTGTGTTAAGTTTGCATGTTCTCCCCATGTTGGCATGGGTTTCCTCCAGGTGCTCCGGTTTCCCCCACAGACCAAAGACGTGTGGTATAGGCAAATTGAATAAGCTAATTTGGCCGTAATGTATGTGAGTGTGTGCAAAAGTTTGTCGGTGTTTCCTAGTGTTGTGCTGTGGATGGAAGGACTGGATAAGTTGGTGGTTCATTCCGCTGTGGCAACCCCTGATTAATAAAGGCACTAAGCCGAAAAGAAAATTAATGAATGAATTTTCCCACACTTTGAGTACATAGATTTGTAGTTCTGACTTTTTTCTTAAAATTCTCTCAATTCCAAATTTATAGACTGTATTGCAATTTATTTTTCTTGCAATTTGGACAAATGAACAATTACTTCTCACAATTTTAAGGTTATATACGATCTAAAATGTTTATTTTTGGCCAATTATACATTTTATTTATTCATTAATTCGTTTTCCTTCGGTTTCGTACCTTTATTCTTTGGGGGTTGCCACAGCGGAATGTACTGCCAACTTTTCCAGCATATTTTTTACACAGCAGATGCCCTTCCAGCTGCAACCCAGTACTGGGAAACACTTATACACACTCATTCAAACACATACACTACAACCCATTTAGCTTATCCAATTCACCTATACCGCATGTCTTTGGACTGTGGGGAACACTGGAGCACCCGGAGGAAACCCACACTAACACGGGGAGAACATGCAAACTCCACACAGAAATGCCAACTGACAGTCGTCGCCAATGGCGTAGTGGTTAGTGCATTGACACATGCCACTCCTATGTTCACAGCGACCTGAATTCGATTCCTGCCTCAAGGTCCTATGCTGACCTCCCCCTCTCTCTCTGTTCCCTATGCTTTCCTGTCTAAACTTATTGTCTTATCAATTAAAGTTGAATACCCAAAAAAAAAAAATCAAATAAAAATAAAGTAAAAAATGCCAACTGACCCAACCTGGACACAAACCAGCAAACTTCTTGCAGTGAGGCGACAGTGCTAACCACTGAGCCACCGTTCCGCCCCAATTACAAATTTATATATTGCAATTCTGCAAATGTATTTTGAAATTCTGAGTAGTATGTATCCTGTAATTTTCACTTATTTCCCTCAAAATTAAAAAAAATTCAATATGAACTAGATTAAAATTTTATTTAATCTTATCGTTTTGCTTTTTTTTTTTTTTTTAGAAATCTGATTTCTATCATCTGCCATTAGTCTGTCGAGCAGTTCTGAAATATAAACTGTGAGATATAAAAATCACACAAGTGAGAAAAGAGCCAGAAATGAACTTTTATACATCCTTAGACACAACACACACCTTAAGTCAAACAGCAAAAATTGAGTGTTACTCACTTGGGTCTTGGACTCTCTCCTCTTTTCTTTGCTCTAAGTGCCTGTGTATGATGGCGAGGACCTTGCGCTGATTGGTGATGATGTTTGGTTCAGCTTTAACCTCAGTGAGACTCAGGTTGCTCTTTATGGACACTGAGGCTGTGGCTCGGGCCACCATAGGCAACTGGTCTTGGTAAGGTTTATCTGTAAAGCCTTGCTCCACCCTCTGGATGGCCTGGATACTACAGGAAGCATAAAATCAGACAAATGAAGACAAGGTGTGAAATTAACTGAAGCATATGTGTGACTCATTATAAAAAGCATAGCTGCAAGCCAGTTTGCATATTTATATTATACACTTAAAAAAGGTACGTAGGCATTGCAGGGAACGATGATGAGGTTTTTTTAACTTGCAAAAATGAAATACACTAAGTTATAAATACAGTTAATGTTTTTTTTAAAGCTCAACATATTTCAAGCTAAGTCAGCTACTTGCTTTCAGTCAAAAACAGAATTTTCTGCAAGATTTGGTAATATATTTTGGTTCTATAAAATTTACATAACTCTGTTTAGCAAAGTAAAGTGCAAGTACATAAAAAACCTCACCTTCTGTTTGTCAGGATGGTGTAAATCTCCTGTACAAGAAGCTCTGCAGCTCCAGGTTTACAGTGGATTGTGCCATCTATCATCTCCTTGACCAGACTGATGTTTTGCTTCACAAAAAACTTGAATAACCAATTAAATAAAAGGGTCTTAATGTTAAATCTGTATAAAATGTACTTATGAATGACAACAAGAAACAGGGTATTTCGCTTGGAGATTATTTCTGCACGGTACCACACTCACTTTCTCAATTTGGGACCAATTTGATTGTTTGGCAGCCAATGAAGTTCCATTATCAAAGGAGTGCATTTGAAAATCCCTTGGGAAGTACCAGGAAAATATTTCTGCCACGAGGTATCCATTGGAAAAGTCTCTTTTGGACAAAATAAAGAGCATTGCAGGTGTTTATGTTTGAAACTTTTATTTTTGATTCACGCTTGAAACGTGATGTTAAATGAAATATATGAACTAATTACCGAAAATAACTGAACCGAATGACTAAATTGAGTAAAAATGTAAAAATAGCCAGGTGTATATCGTCTTTAAACTTTAATACAAGTACAAATAGAGGATAAATGTCTCCAGCTTATGGGTTTGTGAGGAGACGCTGTTATCTTCTTTAAGTTACTCACCTGCGAACGTTTTTTGGGAAAAACGATAAATCAAGACTTTGCAGCCATTTCAAAACCTCTCGTGGCAGACCAGCCTTCTTTGGCGACAGTGAATAGGCCATTTCTTGCTATGAAAAACGAAAGAAACAATTAGCCGCCTTACATTTGTTTGGTGAAGAGAACAGACCCTTGTTTCATTGTTTACAGTTGCATAGAAACAGGCGTGAAAACAACTCGGGAGCTGAAGTGCTGCCACCTGCTGGTGCCAGATCATAAATTACTGTTCAGTCTATCGACATTTTATGTAATATAATGCCGCACAGTCATTCTAGTCTATGTATCTCGTTAACAAGCACTGTGCATCATCCATCCACCACCTATCTATCCATCTATCTATCTATCTATCCATCCATCCATCCATCCATCCATCCATCCATCCATCCATCCATCCATCCATCCATCCATCCATCCATCCATCCATCCATCCATCCATCTATCTATCTATCTATCTATCTATCTATCTATCTATCTATCTATCTATCTATCTATCTATCTATCTATCTATCTATCTATCTATCTATCTATCCATTCATTCATAAGCCATCTGTTTCTTTAATTTTAAAGGCAAAACAAGATGCATTTTCCAGTCAAGTTTATTGAATTTTTGAACAGTTAAATATCAAGGACATTTTATTGGCTCATTCTCTTTTTAAAATCAGACAACAGAGATAAGGTAGTTGTGGTTACATGTAAAAGGTAAAACTGCTTTTCTGATTTAACCTCATTATAGTATTATTAACCCACAACAGTGAACATAATGACATTATCTGTATTGTAGAAAGTTCTTCATTGCTTTAGGGAGAGGCAAATGAGGTAGAAGATGCAGTCGGGAACGTCCCAACCTCTCCCTGATTTGCTGACGGCAAAGTTGACTCAGAGAACGAGGTGTCGCTGCAAAACAGACACAACTGATAAATGCGAATGCAGTAAAACATCACAAGTCAAAACTAAACATAGGTGACTTTAAGCCTCCAGTGTTGATGTACCTTTAACTCACCTTCATAAATCAATAGGAAACCCTCTGTAAGGCTCCCTGGAGGAGCAACCTCAACGGCCCGTTTATACTGCAGGTTGCGTGCATTTACGTCTGCCCCAAATTCCAGCAAGAGTTTCACAATGCTTAGACAATCTTTCTGAGATGCCGCATGAAGAGGAGTCTCCATATATGAACCTCTCTGCACATTTGCACCTGTGATGGTGAAAACGCAATAAAATGGTATTCCAGTGTAAGTCATGGGGTGCTCAAACAGTTCCCAGAGAGACAATTTTAATGTTTTAATGTGTGAATTATCCTTCAAACAAGCTAAAACTAAAAAAATCTATAAAAAAATAGCAATAAAAAAAAAGAAAAAGAAAAAAAAAATAGAAATAAGTTAGTTAGAAATAATCTGCCCAGGATTTTGGCTCATCCAGAAGAGGTTATTAAAAAAAGAAAGAAAAATTAAATACAGAGATAAAATTGTTAACTCGAATAGTTTTTTTTATTATAACATTTTAATAACAATTCCCAGTATTAAATACTGGCTTATTGTTGGGTAATTATTAAGATATTGTCTGTTTATAGCACTTTTAAAATATGTTACGATTCGGCATGCCTTAACAACTACTACAGTTTTTCTTAGTCACTTTGGTGCAAAAGCGTGTCACTTGCTCAAAATGGATTGTTCATTCCTCAAAAGCAAGTATTCATGTCAATCAAAGTGTCAGTATCATCAAGATGAAAAGTCCTGACACCATTGTTTATGAACAAGATAGTCAAATGGCTTAGTCATGTTTTCATTATGACAGTTTACTCTGTACATTTTTTCAATGCAAAAAAGTAAGATGTTGGTGACACTTCTTCAAATGCTCATGAAAGCACTAGATACTATTTGCACAGCCATTTGAAAACTACAGTAAAGTCAGACATCACTGCATTTAGTGAGGTATCTGAGTACAAGACACTGAATATGTATGTTTCCCATTTTTTACTGCATATGCTCTTTGCAATTCTAATTTATTCACAGCATTGTGCAAAAGAATAAATACATAAATAAATATTCTTATTTACAACAAACATTACAGTTTTTCTCAGTCGCTGTGGTGCGTTTCTCACAACACCAGTGCATTTCTGCACAACAGTTGATGCATTTCTCAAAACAATTAGTACAAACTGCAAAACCTAGCTGATAACCTGCAAAAGCGCGTCACATGCTCAAAATGGATTGTTCATTCCTCAAAAGCAAGTATTTATGTCAATCAAAGAGTCAGTATCATCAAAATGAAAAGTCCTGACACAATTGTTTATGAACAAGATGTTGATTGTCATGTTTTCATTATGTCAGTATACTCTGTACATTTTTTTTAATGCAAAAAAGTCAGATTTTGGGAAAACTTCGTGAAAATGCTCAAGATAGTACCATATACTATTAGCACAGCCAATAGAAAACTACAGTAAAGTTAGACATTACTGCATTTAGTGAGTGTATCTAGTACAAGACACTGAATATGTATGTTTCACATTTTATCTGCATTTGCTCTTTACAATTTAAATTTTTTCACAGCATTGTGCAGAAGAATAAATACACCCTTATTTACAACAAACAAAAACTTTCTTTGGGTTGAACTGTGCACAACTGTAAACAATATTGCAGCACATCTTGGAACTGAACCAACATACATACACAGGTCTGTAAATCATTCATGACACTGTTCAATTTAGAAGATATTTTCAGTAAAATAAAAATTTAAACATTTTTTTATAAAATTAGCTTGCAGGATTTTGACAACTAGTTCAACATTTTTGTATGTAATGACTCAAGTAATGAAATGAAGACTATTAGTTTTATATGGAATGACTATTCAGCATTTACAAGTTTAGTTGTTTTGACTGACATGACAGAAGCAAATGATAATGTTATAAACAGCAGAGAGTTGTAAGCAATTGATGCATGTCTGAAAGCATTTGCAATTTGCTGAAAGGAATGAGAAACTGCTACTAGGATGTGCACAAATGACTAATTGTTTTGAGAAATGCATGACCTGTTGTGCAAATGTAAATAGTATTGTGAGAAATGCACCAAAGCAACTGAGAAAAACTGTAACTTCCTTAAGGTGGAGCAGTGCACAACTGTAAACAATATTGCAGAACATATTGGAACTGAACCTACAACATACACAGGCCTGTAAATCATTCATGAAATTGTTCAATTTTTAAGACATTTTCAGGTAAATAAATATTTATTTTTTCTTATAAAATTAGCTTGACAGATTTTGACAACTAGTTCAACTTTTTTTTGTATGTAATGACTCAAGTAATGAAATGAGGACTATTCGTTTTATATGGAATGACTATTCAGCATTTACAAGTTTAGTTAATTTTGACTGACATGACAGAAGCAAATGATAATGTTATAAACAGCATAGAGATGTATGAAAGCAATTGATGCATGATCAAAAGCATCTGCAATGTGTTGGAAGGAATGAGAAACTGCTACTAGGATGTGCACAAATGACTAATTGTTTTGAGAAATGCATTAACAGTTGTGCAAATGTAAATAGTGTTGTGAGAAATGAACCAAAGCAACTGAGAAAAACTGTAATAAGCAGCAAATAAGTACTTTATGGAGTCTTAGTTAATGATTTGTTATCCTCAGCAATGGATCTCCAGCACCACAGCACAAGAAAATCACAATACACTTTAAGTTTCATAGCTGATATTAGGAAACTGATTTCGAAATTATTTTATTAATTTATAAAGCACTACTTGTTCTTGCATCAGACTCTAGAGCTGTAAGTTTTTTTGTAGCTGTTAACATTTGTAGAGCTAAAAGATTTAATGGTTTTAAGCTCCTAGAGCAAGTGAGAGATACAAAATATTTATATTTTTAAATATAAATGACAAATCTTCTAAAACATGCAGTGTCTTCAAAGTATTTGTTTGTTTTATATATAATTCCATTTTCCTTGATCATAATGTCGTTATTGGTTTCAATCCATTGTAAGAGTTGTAAGAGCTGTTTTATTCTGAATAATTTTAGCATTGTCTTCATTTACTTCACTGTAAAAAAATTATTTAAGCATTTAGTCATGACAGCATGTTTTTAGTTCATTGTAACTTATTAAACTAAGTTAATCATGTTCTAACTTAATTTAATAAGTTATGCAAGCTGTCTTAATTCATGTTAACATAATATAAGTTCAATGGACTCATAAGGTTAATTTGAACCAGGATTTTTTTACAGTGCTGTATTTTCTTCAGAGGTGTATACACCTGTAAAGCACTTACAATGTTTAGTCTGATTGATCGATTGATTATTGGTAATAAGATAAAAAAAATATAAAGAATAATTTGCAACAACTGACTCCTTCAAACTGTATTCATTCACAGTGATATGTGTAACTTATTATGACAACTTAAATAGTTAATGATAATTTGCAATGTCAAAATAAAACATGTTTCATGATTTAATGCAAGTTGTTGAAACATCAATAAACTAAGAAATTCATTTATTTAATTAATTAAATTTTTTAATTACCACATTGCATATCAACTAAAATAGAAAGAACAGAAAATATTGTAACTGTTAATTTTGGGCCATGTCAACTCTATCAAATCTGTCATAACAGTTGCTGAATCACCAGTAACTGTCATCAGACGCATTTACTGAAGCTCAATTTATCAAGGAAAAGGCCATCTCAAAGTTAACATATACTTACACTTAAAACATGTTTGTGTAGAAACCAAAAAATTCATTACACATTATCAGCTTGACATAAAAGTGCTCAGACATGTTTACCTCCATCAAGCAGCTTGCGGGCACATAGGAACTCTTTACATTGGCAGGCGGTGTAGAGAGGGGTCCCCATGTGAGGGATTTCAAAGTCCACATCCACACCCCATGAAACCAGCATCTCCACACACTTGCTGTGGCCTAAATGAGACCATAAAACCATGTCAAATTAAGTGCTATAATCAAGTCTCCAGTGCATCTACCAAACCAAAAAATGTGAAAAAGAACAACACAGAAATATATTTTGGTAAGCCTTTCTCTGCAAGCATGAGGACGAATTTACTCTTTAGATTTGGCTCTCCTAATCATGCGCGAAGGGGGTCTTATTACAATTAAACATTTTCTTATTACAACTGAATCCACTTACAATTGAATTAAATTTATTTATTTTTTTTAAAGGAAATGTTCCGAAGAATGCTGGTAAAATGTATATTTGTCTTTTTCTGTTTCTGAAACTTATCTTCATGCCCTCATTTTGTCCGCCTTGTCATCCTGTTTGCCTGGTTGGTCACTCACAACAAATGATATCTTGGAGCTAAAAGCTAGACTGCACAATAAAGCCTATAAGATCCATGATAGACTTTCTGGATGGACACATCATTGCTTTGCTCCATCACTCTCTAATGCTTTATCATTTCAGAATTACACCAGGATCACAGGGATTAAACCATCAAATTTTAAATAGTGCTATTTCAGCAGCCCTTTGTGCTTTGGCAATAAAACTTCATATAAGGACCGATCATTCCACCCGATCTGCAACAAATGGATGTTTGCCGCTACTTTTAAAAACTGCTATGGACAGAATATATTTAATGCTGCTCACTGAACAGCTTCACCAAGGTCAGTTTAATACAGTTTAACACTGTTTCTGAAGAATGAGCAGTACTTTTTATCAGTTTATATACGGAGAATGTTTCCAATTTTCACTTACTGGATTCACAGAGACCAGAACTACTGTACATGGTTATTGTAACACAGTCTGTGTAACTCATAAATGCACATTTATAATGCATTGTATATGCACTGTTAATATAATCCCATGGCAAATTGTAACATTTTAGAGTCTAATTCATATGAATTTGTCCAATCTCATTTGTGGATGATGGATGGGTTTAGGGGTGGGTTTTGGGGACACACCTCGTTTAAAAAATTGTGCATTTTCATATGTATTAAATCATATGAATTTATAGTAATTAGCCACTTTTTCTGACAATATTTAAATTATTTATTAAATTATCCATAACCATAATCCATTTTATTATTGTCAACCCCAACCCTAAACCTACCTCTCACAGTAATGTAAAAATAGTTATTATTGCTGTACACTGTAGCAAACATTATGTTATATTAATGTGCACATGCCCAATATTCACAGCTGTATCCCTTCAAGATTTTACCCTTATTTGCATTTAAAAGGACACACAAAAATGCAGTGTTTTTGCAGTATTCAGGGGTAAATTTGAGTTTTTAAATGTTTTTTGACTAACAGAATTGTTATGGACAACTTAATTATTTTATTTTCAATCCACTAAAATTTGTAAAAATTATTAAGTTAACTTAATTGATTTGTGTTGGGACAACATGATGCCATTGTGTGTAACCCAGCTTTTTTGCTACAGTGCAGACATATTCTGGAGAAATCTGCAATTTTTTTTTTACATTTTATGAAAAGGGGCATAATACTGTACGTCTCCTTCAAAAACTTTTGAGTGTCTATTAGGAAAGAAGCTCATTAAGGCTCATTGTGATTTGTGCAGAACTTCACAAGGTTCCACTGCCAGTCTCATACCTACCCCTGCTGGCTGCCTCATGGATAGGTGAAGGCTGGAATATGGCCAGGGCTTGTGGTCTGGCATCGCTCTGCAAAAGCAGCTCTAGACATGCCAAACTGCCAGCAGAACAGGCACGAAACAATGGAGTCACTCCATCTATAGCTGTCACATTCACCTGAACACACAGATAGAAAATAAAACACTGACAATAAAACATGACTCACAAAATTGGACACAAAAATCACAAGAAGAAAATTCATTTTTTGAAAGTGTTGTATATCTCACATTTTATACTGAGATAAGAGATTATCAAATTGAATGTGGTAAAACTGGGGACTGTTTACCATTTAAATATAATATAATATAATATAATATAATATAATATAATATAATATAATATAATATAATATAATATAATATTTAAAAGTAAAAGATACAATCTTAAAAAAAACTGACTTTTTAAAATAGAAATTATTAGTATTTTATGGAAGCCTATTTCTATTACAGAGTATATACAGGAAACAAAGAATACAATTCAATACATTTTAACACCTTTTTAAAAACTCTTTCCACACATTTTAACCCCTTATGTCCACTTTAGGTTTTTACCAGAAACACTGGCGAGATTTTAACTTAAAGTATATTTACTATACATTAATGTAAGAAACAAATAAAAACTAAAACATTATTCATATGCTGAATAAAAATCGATTAAATCTACCTAATTCAGCAGGTTGGCGCCTATAGTTACTGCAGTAAACAAAGCAGCATGTCAAATCTAGCAGGATTTTATTGATTTCATAAACTACACAGCATCCTGATATTAGCGTTTCAATTCAGGCATACTTTAGCATAGAACTATACATTTTATAATAAAAAATTATTTAAAATTTGAATGCATTTAAGACTTTTAATACTTTTTAAGGACCTTAAATGTCTCTACATTGATTTATAAACTTCTAATACTTTTTAAGACCCTACGGACATCCCGTGTTACAGGAAAAAACTGTGTAGAATGTGAGAAAAGTCAGAATTCTGAAAAATTTACTGAGAAATAAATTATTTATAATTTAAAACATCTGACTTTTAGGTAAAAAAATTCTGAATTAGCATTTGTACTTCAACATGTTGGGTTTTCTTTTTTGGTTTAAAAAGAAATAGATGAAATAAATGAAAACATTAAATGTATGTAACATTAATTATTAAAATATATGTATTAATTATCATGAAATATATGTCCTTTTATATTTGAAATACTATATTTTTTATTGTGATTTAAAATATCATGTATTAACAAACATAACTCTAAAAAAATAAATAAACAGAGTTTCACTGACAAAGGAAATATTTCAGTTTTACTGTTATAAAAGCTATAGCAAATACATACAACAGATCAAATAAATTAGAAAATATATTTATTAATAATTATTAAAGAACTGTTATTTTATTTTATTACATTGCACTAAAAAATGATTGATTGGATTTACAAATTTTTATTAAGGTAAGTGGTAGCAAACAATTTACATGGGCTGAAAATAAACAAATTAAGTTATTAATTAAGTGATTAATGTTTAAATTCAGGCGACATGGTGGCTCAGTGGTTAGCAATGTTGCCTCACAGCAGGGTCGTTGGTTCCTGTCTGGGCCAGATGAGTTCTGTGTGGAGTTTGCATGTTCTCCCCGTGTTGACGTGGGTTTCCTCAGGGTGATCCGTTGTCCCCCACAGTCCAAAGACATGCGGTACAGGTGAATTGAATAAGGTAAACTGGCCGTAGTGAATAAGTGTGTGAATGAGAGTGTATGGGTGTTTCCCAGTACTGGGTTGCAGCTGAAAGGGCATCAGCTGAATAAAACATATGGTGGATAAGTTGGTGGTTCATTCTGCTGTGGCGACCCCTGATGAATAAAGGGACTAAGCCGAAGGAAAATTAATGAATGTTTAAATTCAGCCCATATAAAATGTTTGCAACCACTTACCACTTACAAAAATTTGTAAATTCAATCAATAGTTTTTTTCAGTGTGTAAAAATTTAAAAACATATTTAAAATATAATTTAAGAAAATAAATGAACAGATATTTTAATATAGCAAATAACAAATGTGCACCTTTTACTGTTAAAATGTTCAAAATAAAACAAAACAAAAATTGAAACTAAAATAAAAATAAATTACAAATAAAAAAGCCTAGGCCATTGCTAATCAAGACCTGTGAAATGAAAGTGTTACCAATCAGCCGTGCAGAGACTAACGTTGGCTCCAGCATCTACCAGCGCTCTGGCACAGGCAACATGGCCCCCTATGCAGGCCTCATGAAGAGGGCTAATGTGGTCTATCGTCAGCACATTCACACTGTGGCCCTGAGGACACATTAACATAATATTAATTTACTCACTGATGTGCAGGATCTTTGTTTTCCACATGATGGCAGCAATGCTCCTTCACTAATGTATGATGGACTGCAGCATTCAATTCTACACCAAATATGTATTTCATTGCTCATCCAGCAGAGAGCATGATATTATTAATACTGCGCATATTACAGATCTCTTATCTTACGGTTCAAGAAAAGGTCATTTAAATGAGAGATTGCCTGAGCAATGAGGGTCTTGAGGGCCAGCAGACGTCCTTGGCTTGCAGCATCATGTAGAGCCGATCGGTCTGCCCAAGACCCTGGAACAAAATAAAAACAGTCATTTATCAAAAAGGAAAATCAAGAATTGAAATTAAAAGAATATTTGGTGTAAAAATCTAAAGAAAATCAAGAGGAAATGCTTCTGTTTAATGTTTTTTGTCATTGATTATTTTTATGTCAGTACTTTACTTTTTATATTAAATATTAAAAGTAAATAATAAATAATTATTTTGTTTTATTACTTTTCCTGTCAAATTACATTCATTCATTTTTCTTCGGCTTACTTTTCCAGCGTGTGTTTTATGCAGCGGTTGGCTTTCCAGCCACAACCCATCACTGGGAAACAACTATAAACTCTCACATGCACTCATACACAACAACAAATTTTTGTTCACCCAATTCACCTATAGCACACGTCTTTGAACTGTGGGGGAAACCAGAGCACCTGGAGAAAATAATCACAAACACGGGGAGAACATGCAAACTCCACACAAAAATGCCAACTGGTCCAGCCAGGACTCGAACCAGCGACCTTCTTGCTGTGAAGCAACAGTGCTAACCACTGAACCACTTCAAATAACACATCCAATTTATTTTAGAGAAATAATAACAATATCTTAATACAGTGATATTTTTATCCAAGGGTATCATGTGATAAAAATCTTCTACCGGCCCATCCAGCTCATAATAAATTCTTTACAATTTCAGTTTACAGTTGTGTAACTTCACAATTACTTTACTTTTTTTTTGGAAAGTGTTTGTATTCTAGAAATGTTGACAATTCTAAATCAATCTCCTTGTATTTTGCAAGCCTTTTACTGATTCCTGACCTCCAGTAAGAGGTTTTGGTAAGAGTGGTTTGAACTGATCTCACTGGTGTTTTCTAGGCAGTGCAGTAGTCTGTGTATTTGTCAGGTTTGTGCATCATCGGAGACCCATTTGATTTTGACTGAAGAGAAAAGATTTTTGACGAAAACATTTGTTTTTGAGCTGGAAGTTTAAGGTTTTTACAAGTTGGTGTAGAGATTTTGTCTATACTGTAGTTGTGAGAACATTGTGAATTGTTTCATGATTTGTGTTTTAGTGATTGAGAAAAACAGTGAAAGTTCCTACAGGTGTTAATTTATATATATATATATATATATATATAAACCTTATTTTAGGACATTCACTGTTTCTATCACATTGTATTTTCAGCATAAAACAATCTAAGATATGCCCTATTTTATAGCCTATATGAAATGTTTAAATATATAAAAGCATTTTTCATAACTTTACTATACAATACACAGAATTTTTATATACTGTATTTTAGAATAATATATCTATTATTCATTTAAAACATTTATGCTTTGCTATAAAATTACTTAATATAAACAATATTATACAATATTAAAAGCATTAGAGTTTTCCATTTAAATTTGTTTAAATAAATATTTGTTATTCATTTAGTCATTATAATGTTTTATCAGACATTAACAAAATGTAATTGTATGTATATATACATATACATATATATATATATATATATATATATATATATATATATATATATATATATATATATATATATATATATATAACTGAACTGTAGCAGATTGTCTTGACCAAGTATGATTGGATGCTGCCATGTGATTGGACATGTATACCAAATAAAGAAGTTGGAAAGGTGTACCTAATAAAGCGTATCTAATAATAAAGTGGCTGGTGAGTGTTTATATAACAACTAAGGATTTATATATATATATATATATATATATATATATATATATATATGTATATATACACACACACACACACACACACACACAGTTGAAGTCAGAATTATTAGCCCTCCTTTGTATTTTCTTTTTCTTTTTCTAATATTTCCCAAATGATGTTTCCCAAATGAAATTTTCCACAGTGTGTCTGAAAATATTTTTTTTATTCTAGAGAAAGTCTTATTTATTTTATTTTGGCTAGAATAAAAGCAGTTTCTATTTTTTAAACTATTTTAAGGTCAAAATTATTAGCCCTTTTAAGCTATTTGTTTTTTCGATAGTCTACAGAACAAACCATCGTTATACAATAACTTGCTTATAACTTAACCTAGTTAAGCCTTTAAATGGCACTTAAAGCTATATAAAAGTGCCTTGAAAATAAAACTTTATGTACTGTCATCATGGCAAAGATAAAAGAAATCAGTTATTAGAAATGAGTTATTAAAACGATTATGTTTAGAAATGGTTGAAAAAATCTTCTCTTCATTAAACAGAAATTGGGGAAAAAATAAAAATGGGGCTAATTATTCAGGGGGGCTAATAATTCTGAATTCACTTGTATATAGTTATTTATTTTGAAGATGTATATGGTATTTTGTATTCGGGATGCACACAATACACCACCATCACAAAAAGCTGATATTTGCACACACCTGAGTCAATATCCAGTATGACAGCTGATGCGTTCCACACATCATCATCATCATCGTGACCTCCCTTCATCACAAACTACAGTAAAACCTTCAAAACACAACCAGAACAAACTTCCCTGAAGAACCACTTTACAAACCTCCACCTTTCAATGTCCCTTCTTAGTTTTTATCCTCACAATCAAAAACAATCAATCTAAGAATCCACTTTTTTTCTTCTTTTTTCCACACTCAAGATATTGCAAGTCAATCCACGTACGCACAAATCATATCAAAGCACCAACCTTGGCTGGTTAACCAGCTCAGCAAGACTTCCACTTTGACAAAGCTTGTGTCCCTTCAGGAAAATGTTTCCTCCTTATATCATTCTCTTCAAAAAAAAAAAAAAAAAAGGCCTTAAAAGAAGAGTCACTGAAGCTGTCTGGGTTTTTTTTATATCTGCACTGCCCTACTTAAGTTGCTTAGTAAATGCCAGACTATGGCAATCCCCTGTGACTGTTCCTCTCGCCCTGATCTTAAACTCGGAGAAGCTGTTTTCTGAGATGCTCCGCGAGACAACTTGTTTACACCAAAGCCTTCTCTGCTGTTTATAAGGCCCGGCTGCACCGTTCAGGATCCTGTAGACGAGCGTCTGCCTTCACAAATGCTTGATAGACTGACGGTGACTGTGATTTTTGTTGTTGTTGTTGTATAGTTAAAAAGGGGGAGGGGGTGCATGGCCTCAATTCTATTTATACAACACTGTAAACAGCAGCCTGGCAGCCATTCCTGGATTTGCGTCGCATGCATGCATATTGAGAGTGTGTGTGCTTGATGTTGTATGTGTGGTAATATGATTGTAGGATGCCTGCTGTGACGCAAAACACACAAAAGTGAATCTTAAAGAGCACGCTTTAGGAATGCATATGAAGAGCTGTCCTGAAAGTGTGTTTAAAATAGTATGAAGCAGAATTGGAATCACTGTTGTGGTTCTTGTCACATGCAGTGACAGGTATTATGGTTACGCTGCAGGAAAACCATTGTGCAGTAATAGCATTCCCCATGCTCCATATACAGTATACAGCTATGGGGGAAATGAAGAGGCCACTTGAATATTTCTGTTTCTCTGGATTTATTGGATTTTTTTTTATGTTGGTTTGAGGAAAATGTTAATATTTTTTGTTGTATGAAGGTGTGATAATGTTTCTTTCAAATTTTATATAAAAATATTGTCATTTCGAGCCTTTATTTTTAGAAACAAAGTCATTTGTCAATTTATTGGATATATTATGGCATGGGAACATTTTTTCCATGGAAAATGTTACTATTTATTTTGTTGTATGAAGATGTGATAATGCTTCCTCCAAATTTCAGATATAAATATTGTCTTTTTTGGCAAATGACAGTTAGTCAGAATAACAAATACTTTAATTTGTTGTGATTGTAAATCAGAGTTATTCTACCAAATTTTGAGTTAAGTACATTGATTGTGTTGTGTTGTCTAAAAATTAACATCTTAAAACATTTTCTTAAATGGTGCAAAAAACTCAATTCAGTTATGTGTTTGATTAAAACTTTTAGTTTTTTCTGTGACCATATTCACTACAAATTTCAAATAAAAATCTTTGAGATTGAAAATCATTGAGAGCCTTTTTATTAAATAAAGTATAAAAAGCCTCATGTTTTCAAACACGTTTATCTTCATTGTAGACAAGCCATGTTTGAATTTCAGAATAGTTAGGAAACCAATATTTAGTAACCCTGATTTACAGTCACAACAATTGCAAATATCTGTTGTTCTATTCAATTTTTTCAATTTAAATGGCACCTATGATGAAAATCTTTTGGAAGCTGTTCGGTTAGAACAAGGTATAGTGTAGGTATAGTATGTCTACAGTCATATTGGGGTGATATAAAGACAATAAATCCTTACCATTTTGAGGCCCACCGCAATTGATTGACAGCCACGTATCAACATGTCTCTGTAGTAACACGTATAATCATATCAGTAAGACAGTATGTGCACAAAGCAACTGGGATTAAAAGATCTGTTCAGCTGTTCAGCTAAGTTTAAAAACATTTTTAAAATAGTGCATGTCTGAAATGAATTATAGCAATTTTAGCACGTTTTCTTTATCACCACAGCCGCATGTCAGAACAATTTTAAAAGAAAATGCTTCAATCCCAGTTTGTGGACGATAAATAAGGTTAATTTTGTATATTAACATAAATATCCATACAGCAGTGGATATTAATGTGTATTCTGTCACATTTGCCATGCAAAAGTTATGCACGCACTGTGTGTGTGTGTGTGTGTATGTGTGTGTGTGTGTGTGTGTGTGTGTGTATGTGTGTGTGTGTGTTTGCACAAACTTTGTAATGAAATTGTGTTTGACTCATCGTTGCAGAAAGGCTTGAATTAACTCCACAACAAATACATCAAATAATCATTGGGAAAGTTCTTACTGTGGTATTTCTTACAAACAATAAGTGAGATCTGCTTTCTTCATGTCTGTCACTGTGCAGTTTATCTGATGCAGCTGATCTGATTGGTACACTCTGACAGGCACGTGGGAATGGTGGGAAGGGAGAATTAAAGACACAGGCAACAAAAACAATGTATTCAGAGTAAAACATTCCAATATTCTGAGAGCTATAATAAATAATCTGATGGGGGTTTTGTTTTTTGGAGACACAAAAGACTTATCTTAAATCTTGGAAACAGGGTAAAATAGGTGCCCTTTAAATCTATTTTTGTTTTACTTTACTAAATAAACACTATCAGACCTTTGTAGAACAAGCATTAACATTTTATTAAAACTCACACCTAACCAAGCCAGTAAATCCAGATAATTGTCAAGCGGTCTCCCAATTCTTTTGATAGCTGTATATCCATGCAAACAGGCCCAAACATTGGCAACTGAACATTAAATCCACACTCCTGCTGTGCGAGTGTTGGGCAGTGATGTAAGTGCACACATGCTCTACTTACCGTGCCCTTGACCATTGTCATAGAACTCAGCTGAAATCCGGGCAGCCTCCTTGCGGTTGCCTTTGATGATGTAGAAATGTGTGAGGAGATTAAGTGTAATTCTAACGAAAAGTTTGAAGCAGAAGAGCGACAGGATGGTGAGGTAAACATTGGACAGCTGTGCTGCGAATGGCCTGTACTCCTCTGTGGACTCTGTCATGGCTGTGTTTTGTGGCAGGATTAGCAGTGAGCGCTGGTGTATCTTATGTCACCCACAACAGCACCCCCAATGCACTTGGGTCCTTACTGCAGCTCAGGATTTGGATATCAAAAAGAGATATTTGGGGAATAGAAAATTCTGTATGAATTCAGGGATATCACATAAATGCTGTGATTTTGTTGGTTGTGTAGTATAAAGAATTTTAAATAAGTTTATATACAAAATGTCTAGTGCAAAAAATAACATGTCCAATGTTTATTATTTGGGTTGAAAGTAAAACAACAATGGAACACAGCTCTATTCTTACATTCAGTTGTATCATATACATTTTTTTCTGAGCATAAAAGGTCTATAAAAGGTAAGCTCCTAAGAACACTTAACTTAAATTTTTACTTTAAATTTGGGACACTAATACAAATAGGATTATGATGTCATATGTGCTTCTAGTACAATACATTTAAAAAGTACAACTTATTTACTTGGCGACATAGTGGCACAGTATAGTGCTGTCGCCTCACAGCAAGAAGGTCGCTGGTTCGAGCCTCGGTGGGGTCAGTTGGCGTTTCTGTGTGGAGTTTGCATGTTCTCCTTGCATTCGTATGGATTTCTTCCATGTGCTCTGGTTTCCCCCCCAGTCCAAAGACACGCGGTACAGGTGAATAGGGTAAGCTAAATTTTCCGTAATGAGTGTGTATGAATGTTTCCCAGAGACGAATTGCAGCTGGAAGTGCATATTCTGCCTAAAACATATGCTGAATAAGTTGGTGGTTCATTCTGCTGTGGCAACCCAGATTAATAAAGGGACTAAGCCGAAAAGAAAATGAATGAATTGTTAATAATTAAGTGAGATGCATATTCTTGTACTAAGTTTGTACAAATTTACAATGAAAAAAGCTTTTATATTTTACAGTAAGACAATCAGTTTCAGTTTATCAGATGATAAATAACATACTGTGCATTCAGGGTGAAGTTCATTTCTAACATGAAAATTTTATTGCCAAAACATCTACAAGAACAGAGGATGAAGCATCGTAACATGACAAGTTTCATTTTTTTTTTTTTTTACATTTATTGTATAACAGAAAGATACATTTGGTACACATCATTTACAATAATAACCATTACATTATTTACAATGGTGTCAATAAAGAATGAAAAAGACAAAAAAAATAAGAGAAAAAAATAAAACCAAACAAAAAAAAAATCAAACAAAAAACAAAGAAATGTCAATAGGTTAACTGATCAGAGGATAGACACAAAATAGATAAAGAAACTGAGAGTGAAGAGGGCAAAATAAGACTTTTTATAGATTTATTAGATTTCCTATACATATTCAGGCCCATAGCCAGCCTGTTAAAAGGGGTGGTTCTTTTTTCTCAAAAAGTGGACGTTTTTGTATTTATTTGTCTCAATTTATGTGGTTAAAATACTGCATTTCAGTTACAGTTTAGCCCCTAATTTGTGCTGGAGTATTTTGTTGGATGGTTATCATTACCGCGTTTGACTTCCTACATTTTTGTCAAAGTGTTTATCATACTATCTTTTTGTTTACAAAATTGCATGTTTCTTTACAAATGTGCATTTAAACTGTATAAGTCATTACAATTTAAAATATAATATAATAAGATTAGAATTTTAGAAATCTAAAAAAAAAGAAAAAATACTTATTTTTTAAATGCTAATTTATTATAATCCATCATAAAAAAACTAACAAAAACAATAAAAAATAAGCAAATCTAATAAAAAATTTAAAAATGCAAAAATGCAAAAAATAAAAATAAAAATTAGCAATCTGTTAATACTTGAATACTTCAATCTGTTAAAACTTGTTTTAAATTAAAAACTGTAGCCTATATGCAAATAACAAACTGTCCAACTTATTTCCTCAATCAGAATTTGTCAATTTAAAAAATAAATGTCTTCTTTTATTGGTTATTTTGTTGGTTATTCTTCTTAAAGCCTTCTTCCATTGGTTATTTTCACAATTTATGAAGGCATGCTGTCAAAGATGGGACAAATGAGCTCATATAGAGGCCACGTTAAAATGTTGATAATCATTTTAAAAATGAGTATCCTTACTTATAAGGAAACACTTTTGCTATATGGACCATATACTTTCCCTGTTTAAATTATCAAAAATACTGTTACAATGTGAGAGCAGGAGGGGTAGAGAGTATTTTCAAGGAACAGCTGCTCTTAATTTATAGTTTTTATTTTTCTTTATAACAAACACATTTCACCAAATATAGGTATTAACTGATTCTGGATTAGTAACGGTTCCTAGTAATACTATATTGTTTTTAAAAAGCATGTAAACAACAAGTTTCAGAAATGTCATTTTTTTACGTCATGACGTCTGCAGTTACGAGTCATTGGCGCATGCGTATTTGCGCAGATTTAAATTACTGATCTGGCGGGCTCAGCTCAGCGACTGCTCACTTCTCGTTGGGTTTTGGGATGCTAGCGATCTTTTTAATATCAGATTATATTTTGCTTTTTAGTTTGCTTGTAAAGA